CACTGCTTGAAGTTCTGCCCACTGGGAAGATTTCCCTTCACCGCTGTCCTTCAGGGATGTCCTGGAAAGGGGCTGTAGTGCTGCAGCTGTCCACTTTCGGGTGGTGCCTGCATCTCGTGCAGAACCGTCTGTGAACCAGGCCCTAGTCTTCTCTTCCTCTGTCACCTGATCATAGGGAACTCCCCATGAGGCCATCAGTGCAGGCTGGGGAAGAGAAGGCAGGGTGGCAGGAGTCGAGACCATGGGCATTTGAGCCACTTCCTCGTGGAGCATACTTATGCCTCCAGGACATACTTGAGCCCAATCACATATATACCACTTCCATTTGATGATGGAATGCTGCTGAGCATGACCCACTTTATTGCTAGATGGGTCAGAAAGCACCCAGTTCACGACAGGCAGTTCAGGTCACATGGTGACTTGATGACCCATAGTCAAATGTTCAGTTTCCACCAAAGCCCAGTAACAGGCCAAGAGCTGTCTCTCAAAGGGACAATAGTTATCTGCAGAAGATGGCAGAGCCTTGCTCCAAAATCCTAGAGGCCTCTACTGTGATTCACCTATGGGGGCCTGCCAAAGGCTCCAGACAGCATCCCTATCTATCACTGACATCTCAAGCACCATTGGATCTGCTGGGTCATATGGCCCAAGTGGCAGAGCAGCTTGCACAGCAGCCTGGATCTGTTGCAGAGCCGTCTCCTGTTCTGGACCCCACTCAAAACTGGCAGCCAGCCTTTCAGGTCACTCAATAAATGAGTGGAAGTAACACACCCAAATGAGGAATGTGTTGCCTCCAAAATCCAAATAGGACCACTAGGCATTATGCCTCTTTCTTGTTTGTAGGAGGGGCCAAATGCAGCAACTTATCCTTCACCTTAGAAGGAATATCTCCATAGACCCCACACCACTGGACCCCTAGAAATTTTACTGAAGTAGAAGGTCCCTGAATTTTAGTCAAATTTATTTCTTATCTTCCGGCATGTAAATGTCTCACCAATAAGTCCAGTGTGTTTGCTACTTCTTGCTCAATGGATCTAGTCAGCATAATGTCATCAGTGTAATGAACCAGTGCGATATCTTGTGGAAGTGAAAAGTGATCAAGGTCGCTCCAAATAAGATTATGACACAAAGCCTGGGAGTTGATATACCCCTGAGGTAGGACAGTAAAGGTACATTGCTGGCCTTGTCAACTGAAGGCAAATTGCTTCTGGTGGGCCTTATGGACAGGAATGGAGAAAAAGGCATTTTTCGAGTCAATGGCTGCATACCAGATACCAGGAGATGTGTTAATTTGCTCAAGCAATGAGCATCTGGTACAGGCAGCTGCAACTGGAGTTACCACTTAGTTAAGCTTACGATAATCTACCGTCATTCTCCAAGATCCATCTGTCTTCTGCACAGGCCAAATGGTAGAGTTGAACGCGGATGTGGTGGGAATGACCACCCCTGCATCTTTCAAGTCCTTGATAGTGGCACTAATCTCTGCGATCCCTCTAGAGATATGTTATTGTTTTTGATATACTATTTTTCTAGGTAGAGGCAGCCCTGATGGCTTCCATTTGGCCTTTTCCATCATAATAGCCCTCACCCTACCAGTCAGGGAGCCAATGTGGGGTTTCTGCCAGCTGCTAAGTATGTCTATGCCAATTATACATTCTGGTACTGGGGAAATGACCACAGGATGAGTCCAGGGACCCACTGGACCCTCTGTAAGTCAGACCTGAGCTGAAATTCCATGAATTACCTGACCTCCATAAGCCCCTACTTTAACTGGAAGACCACAATTATGTTTTGGATCCCCTGGAATCAATGTCAGCTCAGAGCCAGTGTCCAGTAGTCCTTGAAATGTCTGATTATATCCCTTTCCCTGTTGCACAGTTACTCTGGTAAATGGTCAGAGGTCTCCTTGGGGAAAGATGGGAGAAAGATACACTGCATAAATTGTCAGTAATGTAGTGGGGTCCTCCCTCAAGGGGGCTCGGTCTCCCCTTCATTCAAAGGGTTCAGGGTCTGTAAACTGGCTCAAATCTGGAAATTGATTGAGGGGCCATGATTCTGTTTTATAATTCAAATGAGTCTTTTATCTATTCAGCCTAGAAGTTTTCTCCATATATAAATTAAGTAGGAATGCAGTAGGCTTCCTGTCAATTTCACTTCTAGGAACACCATGATTAATTAGCCAATGCCAGAGCTCTACACAAGTCAGACTATTCTGATTGCTGCTTTGTCTCTGCTGTCCATTATGGCACTTATACCCACCTTAGCTTTTTTTTTTCTCTTTTGAGATGGAGTCTGGCTCTGTTGCCTAGGCTGGAATGCAGTGGCATGATTTCAGCTCACTGCAAGCTCCGCCTCCCAGGTTCACGCCATTCTCCTGCCTCAGCCTACCAAGTAGCTGGGACTACAGGTGCCTGCCACCATGCCCAGCTAATGTTTTGTATTTTTAGTAGAGACAGGGTTTCACCATGTTAGCCAGGCTGGTCACAATCTCCTGACCTTGTGATCCACCCACCTCGGACTCCCAAAGTGCTGGGATTACAGGTGTGAGCCACCGCGCCCGGCCCCACCTTGCCTTTGACGGTTAGTTAAGTGCCACAACTTGGCCCCTGCCACCTTGGGATCCAGTTATTCCCAATGTATTTAAGTTTTGTAGTTGAGTGACTATGGTTCCCACTGTTAGATCTGACATACAGAGTAGAGCAATTACGGGGCTCTTCAAAGATGCAAGTGCTACCCTCACAAATCTATTTCACAAGGCATTGGTCAAGGGTATATCTTCTGTACCCTCCCAGCTGGGATGAGTAGGTCTAAAGTGACTAATTCACTCCACCATGCCAGTCTCCCTAAGCCTTTGGATCCCTTCCATCTCACTCACAGTGGGCCATCTTATAATCCATATTTCAGCTAACCAAGCAAATAAACTACTAGAACCTTTTTTAACTTCCTGAGCTGCAACATTAAATGCAGAGTCCCTACTTAGTGGTCCCAAGTCAATAAATTCAGCCTGATCCAACTCTATGTTCCTTCCACTATTATCCCATACCCTTAATATCCATTCCCATGCCTGTTCTCCAGATTTCTGTTTATATAAATTAGAGACATCAACTGGGTGCAGTGGCTCACGCCTGTAATCCCAGCACTTTGGGAGGCCGAGGCAGGCGGATCACAAGGTCAGGAGATCGAGACCATCCTGGCTAACATGGTGAAACCCTGTCTCTACTAAAAATAAAAAAAAAAAAAAAAAAAATTAACTGGGCTTGGTGGCAGGCACCTGTAGTCCCAGCTACTCAGGAGGCTGAGACAGGAGAATGGTGTGAACCCAGAAGGCGGAGCTTGCTGCACTCCAGCCTGGGTGACCGAGCAAGACTCTGTCTCAGAAAAAAAAAAAAAAAATTAGAGACATCAAGCAGCTCTTTTTGAGTGTAGCACACTTCTTCATGGGTCATACTCTCAATCTCACCTCTAGAGGCCCACTGAGACTTTAGTTGTAGGTCTAGAAGCAAACAAGGGTGTTAGGGGTGGCTCCTGAAGAGAATCAACATTATCTTGCCTGGCAACTGCCTCAGGGGAGGCCATCACTCTTGCCTGAGGAAGCACACAGGGTTTATCTCCTCAGACAAAGGTGGAAAGACTGATGACAGCATGGGTCGGGGAGGGGATGTTGCCGCTACTGGTATGGGGAAGCTGTTCCTTTTGGCAAAAAAGTTCATCAGAGTTTACAAGCTCAGTATCCCCAGCTTCATCAGGGTTCTCCCACAGGTCTCGTTCCCAAGTTGCAGGGTCCCATTCTTTTCCAATTAATGCCCTCACTTTAACAGGAGACAATTGGCAAGGCTGTGCATGCACCTTTCACTGCACCTTTCAGCCACTCACATGATAAGAGCTTGTGTCTGTTTTTCCACAATTTCAGCTATTTCTCTACGGGAGATAAGACTCACTGAGGGCAATCTTTGCAGATTTGAGGCTCAGTATCTGCTTCTGTAGCCAGGAGACAGAATCTCTGAGTTCATCATTTTCTTTCATCACTTTGTCTACTGAACTTAGGAGCAACTAACCAGCTTCATTATGTTCCCTTGTTCACCACATATGGTCAAAGGTATTATGTATAGAGTCATTAAACTCCCTGCCTCTCATGAGCAGTGAATCAGGAGTGTCAAATGCATTTATTTTGTGTAACTCGTTAAACAGTTCATGCCAAGGACTATCACTGTTCTCCATACTATTAGAAGTAGAGTCCTTAGCATTTGGGGGTCTAATCATACTAACCAGCCAACTCCAGAAACCCAAAAACCAACAAAAGAACTCCATCCTTAATATTCTGTTTCTCTAGAACCACTCCTGGTACCAAAATCTATATAGTCAAAGTTCCCTAGAGGGACAGAACTAATAGGATACATATGTATAAATAAAGGGGACTTTGTTAAGTATTAACTTACATGATCACAAGGTCCCACAATAGGCTGTCTGCAAGCTTGAGGAGCAAGGAGAGCCAGTCCACATCTCAAAACTGAAAAACTTGGAGTCCAGTGTTTGAGGGCAGGAAGCATCCAGCATGGGAGAAAAATGAAGGCTGGGAGGCTGGGCAGTTCTCACCTTTTCACATTTTTCTTCCTGCTTTATATTTGCTGACAGGTGATTAGATTGTGCCCACCAGATTAAGGGTGGGTCTGTCTTCCCCAGCCCACTGACTCAAATGTTAATCTCCTTTGGCAACACCCTCACAGACACACCCAGGAGCAATACTTTGCATCCTTCAATCCAATCAAGTTGGCACTCAGTATCAACCATCACAATTAGAAAAGGATAAGTATTATTTCATGTAATTTTGTTTCATTAATATGTACACAAATGTGCACACTGGACTATAATGTAAAATATGTCTTTTATTGTGGGTCATAGTCACTGAAGTTTGAAAAACATTGACTTAGAACATCTCATGACCTAGTCAGGTTGTTGGTTATATTCTAAATCCAGCATGTTTAATTTAATTTTGATTTCAGAACATAAAGATCTAGTCCCTCATGAAGAAAAAAACCCAGTTATGTCAGACGGTAAGTCAGTGGGGTTATAAACAGTGTCTATATTGCTAATATCATGACTCATATTGTCCAGTTGTTAGGGAATAATGTTATGGCCTAGCAACCAAAGCAAGTCTTAAATAACTTCATATGCTTCACAGACACTTTGAAATGGGCACAAAAATGTCAACTTTTTTTTTTTAATCACTCAAACTGCTTCCTTGTCATATTCACCTCAAACTCTCCCAAAATACTCTAACTTCAGCGCCAGTCCCTTGTGTCTGTTGCTTCTCACCTTTCCCTTTTCTTCTCAATTCTTTATTATCAAGCCCAAATAACCAATATGGCAAGACAGCATCTTTCTCAGAAGATAGGTGAGAGGAAGAGACTGAGAAGGCCAAGTTAGAATTCTCCTTAACAGGGAAAATCTGGGAATTTTTGTCTCATTATGTGTATATATATATATCTCATCATGTATATAATTTATAATGTATTACATAAATACACACACACACATATGCTGTTGACCCATGAACAGCATGAGTTTGAACTGTGCAGGTCCACTTATTACGCAGATTTTCTTCCACCTCTGCCATCCCTAAGACAGCAAGACCAACGCCTCCTCTTTCCTCCTACTCCTCCCCAGCCTTGTCAACATAAAGAAAATAAGGATAAAGAACCTTATCATGATCTATTTCCACTTAATGAATAGTAAATATATTTTCTCTTCCTTATGATTTTCTTAATAACATTTTCTTTTCTCTAGCTTTTATTGTTAGAATGCAGTATATGATACATACAACATACAAAATATATGTTAATCAACTGTTTTGTTATTGGCAAGACTTCTGGTCAACAGTGGGCTATTAGTTAAGTTTTGGGGGGAGTCAAAAGTTATATGTAGATAATTGATGACACAGAGGAATGGTGTCCCTAATCTCCACATTGTTCAAGGGTCAAGTGTATACATATAATGTGAGTGCTTGCACATATTTATGTAGAGGACTGTATGTTTTCTAAAGCTTCCTATACAAACCGTATATCCAAAAAATAATAATTTAGTCTGTTTCCATTTTTACAGCTTCACCTGAAACTGTCTATTTAGAAGGAAGCTAGCAATCATTGAGAAGTTGCCTAGTGGTTTATGGGGGCCAGGGAAGGAGGCTTCATAGGGATGTTGGTAGAAAGATGCTATACTGAGCAGTTGACTGAACATCTGCTTGTTCATATTGTCCACTCAGAACATGGATAAGTCATCATCATGGTTGAGACTTTATATAACAGTGGTCTAGCATCTTGTAACTCCTAGGAGAGCAATGCATTCAGAGAAACTTCAGAGTGGAAGGAACAAGATAGAAGAAAATGAAAATAACTGCAAAAATTATTGTGCTTTACATAGTAAAAACTATTCTTTTAACTCTATTTGCAGCAGCAGATTTTCTAAATCAGATTCCTCAAACCACCTTTGAAAAGCCACAGAGTCTTGAGTTCCTAAATGGTAGGTGGTAGACAAAACATTAACTAATATTTTCTTGTTCTACAAGTGGAACTGGGTAGTAGAGGATCAAGTTTCCTTGCAATACTATTCTTGTCAAACCCTCCCCACTTCCCACATTCCCCAAGGACCCAGCCTTGGTTGCTTACTCTCCTGGATCCTAGCTTCCTACTTTTTTTTTTTTTTTTTTAAAGACAGGGTCTGCTCTGTTGCCCAGGCTGAAGTGCAGTGGTACAGTCACAGCTCACTGCAACCTCAGCCTCCTAGACTTGTGATCCTCTCAACTCAGCCCCTCAGGTAATTGGGACCACAGGCATGCACCACCACACCCAACTAATTTTTAAATTTTTTTTTTTTGTAGATCTAGGGTATCACAGTGTTGCCCAGGCTGGTCTTAAACTCCTGGACCCAAGTGACCATCCACTTTGGCCTTCTAAAGTGCTAGAATTACAGGCATGAGCCACCTGCCTGGCCTGCTTCCCACTTTTGCAACCAAACCTTTGAGAACCTAATCCTTCCCTCAAGATGAATAAGTAAGGAAATTGACACAAGGAATCTGCATGTCCAGAGTTCCCAAGTATATAACTGAGTTGAAAACAAAGCTGATGTAGGTTTCTTTGTGGTTGACCAGTCAGGATATTCACCCAAGCCCCCACCCTTTTATTTAAATGTCCAATAAAATGAACAAAATCTCATGCACCTTTCATTCTGAAATGTATGGTATGATGGACTTAAGAATGGGGCTAATCGGGAGAATTAGAATTGGTGCATAGAGGAGCAGCAAAGCCAAGAGCAGAAATGGAGCTGACAACATAGCTGCATACACGATTTGGAATGAAAAGCAAGGTGCCAGGAGAGAGCACATAAAATAGCTTGTGGCCAGGGAAGAGGCCACAGTTAGTTTTGCTATATGAAAACACCTAGCTATGATCTCGTGGCTTTATTGCCCCATAGAATCACTCTCACGCATGCACTTTCTCAGCTATTGAATCATGAATACAGGAATCCAGCAAACAAAAAAGCTAATAAAAACATATGCTACTAACATGTTTTGGAAATAGTTATATATTTTCATTTCTTTTCCTTTTACAGGCTTTGAAGGCAAAACTGTGGAATCCTAACAGATCAAATTGGATGAAATACATAATTACTTGGTAGCATAATAAATATAGAAAGAATTTACATAAATGTCTATATTGAAGGAAGAATAATTTGAAAGATTTATGTCAGTCTTAGATAATACCATGCAAGGCAATTAAATCACTGTGACAACATAAAGGTCAGAGTTCAGTTATTTTGCGTTACTTGTATCCACTCATGTTTGTTTAATAATAATTGCATTTTCTCAGAAATATTTTGGTGTCAAATGCTATCTTTTATACTACATTAAAATAGAGTTGTCAGTCATTGCATCTGCCCATACATCTTCTGAGAGAACCTGCTTCCTTCCACCAGCCATACCTAAGACCTGCACCTAAGTGACCATGTTTGCTCAAATGTCCTCACCACCTTGGTCTCAACTAATTAAGCCAAACAGATGTACCTCACTCAAGGATAACCAATCATATTTTCTCTCTCTCTCAAAAAAAAAAATTGAACTGAGACCAATGAGTAAGTTGGTGACTGGGTCAGGTTGATGGTAGTGAACTATGTGCCTGTGAGCTCTTCAGAGCTAGATTGGGTTCACCACCTTCATAAGACCTGCCTCTGTACCATTTTTCCCTGGATGTGCTTTGTTTAAGTGTCTGTATAATAAATCACACTTTTTTAAAGCTCAGATTGAATAGGTTTCTGCTCCTTGACAACAGATATGGCCTGAATAAAATGAATTTTGAAAGAAAAGCATAATATTTTTACTATATAATTGCATGGTTTAAGTAAAAATTACAGTCTTTTATTAAAGCAGTAATAGCCAAACCAGTATGCTCAGATATTTTCCAGCTAATAAGACCCTTTACAAATGCCAATTAGGAACTTTTGAAAGCCCAGGAGTCATGTGAAAAGCTGCTGATATCTGTGCTTAATAACTCTTAAGATATGAATCATATTCTGAAAATTCAGGGAAATTGCAGATGCATCTTCTGCATTGCTTCTGCACCATTATAATGCAATGGGTAGTTTCAAACCCATCACTGACTTTTGCTTGTTTCCAAAGTCAGCACTTCATGTGATGTTATTGTGAAGAAAGCTTGATATCTGTGTAAGGACATTGATTTTGTGCCCTAATCCTACTAATACCATTGCCTGACTTTGTGGGGTCCTCAACCCAAGGAATGTGACCACAGAGAACAATACCTGGATGGAAAATCAAATGGCGCTTCTCACAGAGCTGAGCACATGGCGATTTTGCCCCTCAACATGCAGGGCTTCTTATGAGAAAACTAAGCAAGACTGGAAACCGTGATTCAGACCAAGAAGCCTAAGCTAAACTTCCTGCTCCATATCCGTTGAATCAGTCATGTGACTCACTTGTTACCCATAACCAGATAGAAAGGCTGGAACAAAGAACACAACCACGAACACATCATCTTTCAATGTAGTGGCCTGCCTCTTAGTGATTTCTTCCCATGAGTGCCAAGTTGTGAACAATGAGATAATGAGCTGCTTCTCCAATTGGTGGACATCTAGGAGAGGGCTAGAGGAGATCTAGACAGAGTTTTGTCCCTTTTTGGGACATACTCATCCCCATCCCCAGAAGTCTGTACTTCCAGCATGAATATGAACTACCATATGTTTGGACCACCATAGGATGACAAGAATGCTCTAGAATAGACTCCTATAGGAGAGTAGAATGGATTGATTTTAATCATCATATCTACTACCACACATTTGTCCCAAATTAATATATGGAATTATACTGGGAGGAAAGTGTTAAGTGTTTGCTATTTATTTAGAAATAATAATGATGCCACTTCAAAAATATTTTTCAGGGTGATCTGGTTTGACTCTGTGTCTCCACCCAAATTTCATCTTGTAGCTCCCATAATTCCCATGTGTTGTGGGAGGGATCCGGTGGGAGATAATGGAATCATGGGGGCGGGTCTTTCATGCTGTTCTCATGATAGTGAATAAGTCTCACAAGATCTGATGGCTTTAAAAATGAGTTTGCCTGCCCAACCTCTCTCTTTGCCTGCCGCCATCCACATAAGATGTGACTTGTTCCTCCTTGCTGTCCACTATGATTGAGAGGCCTCCCCACCCTGTGGAACTGTGAGTTCAATTAAACCTCTTTCTTTTGTAAATTGCCCAACCTCGGGTATGTCTTTATCAGGAACATGAAAATGGACTAATACATGGGGCACAGGGAGGTTTTTTTTGTTTTTTTGTGTGTTTTTTATGTTGTTTTTTTTTTTTGACTGATGCACTAGTTCTCATGGTAGCCTGTTATATATAATAGACCAACTTGGGAAATCTCAAGTCTGATTTTCCCGTTAAAAGTAACTTTAATGTGAGGTTATTGTAAGTAGTTTCTCTATGTTGTTAAAGCTATCATGGTAAAGCCATGAGGGAGGAATATTCTGTAGAAAAATTAGAGTATTGTTTGGAGAAAGGCATTATGTGTATAAAGTAATTAATTGGTCACTGAAATATGAGTTAAGCATCTATAAATCTTTGTAGCTATAGCAAGCACTATTAGTTGCCCTCCTTACAGCCCGGCTTCATTCTCGTGACCAACAGAAGTCTGATTTTGTTGGGATGGCTGATGGGCCCAATAAATGGTGAGATCTAATTTAGTCCCATATGCCAGTGATTGGTCTAGGGGTAGGCATATGGCCCAATTTTGGACACTGATAGATAAGTGTTCTGGAGGCCTGCATGAGAGAGAGAGAATAAATGGTATGCAAGGAGAAAGCACTTTGGCTCCCACCTACTTCCTTCCTGCTTAAATGCTGTCCTACGGAGATATAATGCTCACAGCTTCAGCAACCATTTTGTAGCCATGAGAAGAGACATCACCAGCATAGGAGGGTAGCAGTAAAGAAAGACAGAAAAAGCCTGGTGCCTAATCCTGAGGCCTTGATGACTTCAAAGAGCCTCTGAACCAACCCTGGATCAACTCCAGAACTTCTGTCTAACAAACAATAAATAACACTAGGTTTTAAGTCCATGTTAATGATGGGTTCTATTACTTATAGACAATGGCTGCATACTTAATATGTGGCTATATATGCTTATAGCTAACAGCTATTTAACTTAATAGAGAAATACCTTTCAATTATTCGTTTTAAGTGAATTAATAAGGAATATATTTAGATCATTTGTTTTTTAGAGACAAATTATCGCTCTGCACCCAGCCTGGAGTGAAGCGTCACAACTGTGGCTCAGTGCAACCTAGAATTCCTGGGCTCAAGCCACCTTCCCACCTCAGCCTCTCAAGTATCTGGGACTACAGGAACATGCTACCACACCTAGCTAATTTATTTTTGTAGATGGGGTCTGGCTATGTTACCCAGGCTGGTCTTGAACTCCTGGACTCAAGTGATCCTCCCGCTTCAGCCTCCTGAGTAGCTGGGACTGCAAGCATGAACAACCACACTCAGCCCCTAGACAAACTGACTTTTCTGACTCAGCCAGGCTTAAAATCTATACTGACTGTTATATTTGTTCTATCTTCCCCAATTCCAGTCAGTAAATGCCATCAACTTACTTCAATTCTAGACCATGATTTTTGACATTAGCATGAATCAGAATCACTTGTTAAAACAGATTGCTGGGGGCCGGGCATGGTGGCTCACACCTGTAATCCCAGCTACTTGGGAGGCCAAGGTGGGCAGATCACTTGAAGTCAGGAGTTCGACACCAGCCTGGCCAACATGGTGAAATCTCATCTCCACTAAAAATACAAAAATTAGCCAGGCATGGTGGCACCTGCCTGTGGTCCCAGCTACTCCAGAGGCTGAGGCCAGAGAATCACTTGAACCCAGGAAGGGGAAGCAGAGGCTGCAGTGAGCCAAGATCGTGCCACTGCACTCTAGCTGGGGTGACAGAGCAAGATGCTCTCAAAAAAAACAAAAAACAAAAAAAAAACCCAACAAACAAAAAAGATTGCTGGGGACCATCTCCAGAGTTTGTGACTCAGTAAGTCTTAGTTCTAACAAGTTCTCAGGTGAGGCTGATGCTACTGATCTAGGGACCATACTTTGACAACCACTGCCCTACACTATGTCTTCAAACTTCATCTCACTGAAGCCTCGATAGATCTTACACAGTGAGGTGGCCTTTCCTCTCTTGGCCAAACCATTACTTATTTCTTTTTATTTCAGGGAGATGAACATTATGAGACTCCAAGAGACAGAAATAGGATAAAGAGCTATTCCTCCATCTACACCCTACCAGATGCAACTGGGAAATAATGTGTAACTTCCATTTGCTCCTTTGCTGGCCTTAAAACTAACATCTTTAACTCTAAAACAGTCCTGGCCCAGAGCGGAAAGCTTACTCAGTCTGCAGAGGACACAGAAAGGTTACCCAAGCTTGCAGCTGAGTTTCTGGAAGCGAACTGGTGACTCTCCCAACAGTGAGCAGCTGTTCTGCCCCTCATATTAATTTCTTCTGGACAGAAAAAGGGAGCCCACAGAGACATCTAATCACAAGTCTCTCAGTTTATTGGTACAAAGAAGCATGATTTCTATACAGAGAGGCCATAGCAAAGGTTTTGCAGAGTCCTGGCAGCCTCCTCCTTTGTAGGTGGGCTACCCATCTCTGGGAAAGCAGCCACAAACCCTAGTGTGTCTTGCTCAAGAGCAACACACATAAGTCATACTTAAGCAATGCCACCAAAATTACGTTTTCATCTACAGTCCCCAAAATTACCACCATGTTTGCAAAATCCCATGATGAGCCCTCAGTCCTCATGCTGATTTGACCTATCAGTAGCATTTGACATACGTCTTAGGCCCTTTGTGCTACTATAACAAAGTACCGTTGAGCAGTAGCTTAGAAACAACAGAGATTTATTTATCACTATTCTAGAAACTGGGAAGTCCAAGATCAAGGTGGCAGCAGATTCAGTGTTAGGTAAGAACACATTTCTTGGTTCGTAGATGGTGACTTTTCACTGTATCTCCACATGGTGGAAGGGGCTAGGCAGCTCTCAGATGCTTTTTTTAGAAGGACACTAATCCTATTCATGAGGTTACTACCCTAATGACCTAATCACCTCCCAAAGGCCCCACCTCCTAAAGCCTGCTGTGGTTTGGACGTTCATCCCAACTTAACCTTATGTTAAAATTTCGTACTAATGTTGGATGTGGAGCCTAGTAAGTATCTGGGTCATGAGGGTGGATCTCTCATGAATAGATTAATGCCTTCCCTTGGGGTGAGTGAGTTCTCTTGCTCTTAGTTCCTGCGAGAGCTGATTGTTGAAAACTGCCTGGCACCTCCCCACTTCTCTTGCTTCCTCTCTCACCATGTGATCTCTGTATATGCCAGCCCCCTTTTGCCTTCCACCATGAGTAGAAGCTGCCTGGGGCCCTCGCCAGATGTCCAATCTTGAACCTTCCAGCCAGCAGAATTATGAGCCAAATAAACCTCTTTTCTTTATAAACTATCTCAGGTATTCCTTTATAGCAACACAAAGCTAACTAAGACAGCATCACATTGGGGATTAGTTTTCAAAATATTAATTTGGGTAGGGGGAGCAAACACTCAGTCCATAACAACATAGCCAATCATTTCCTTTTCTCTGATACACTTACTTCACCTGCCTTTTAGGGCATGAGACTTTCATGGTTTTCTTCCTACTTCATCCCCATGAAGTGCTTTACTATTTTTTAGTCTCTGTGCTGATTTATCCTCTTACACCCTTATAATATTGGAGTACACGAGGGATCTGTCCTTGATTGCCGTCTATAGCTACTCATGACTCCACCCAGTCCATCTATATGCAAGTAATCCCCTAATTTATATCTCCAGGCCAGTCATCTCTTCCAAACTGAAGATTCCCCTATCCTACTTGCAATTTGCACTTAAACGGCTGAGACGCGTGAATTAGCATGTTTCAAACTTATCTCTTAATTCCCATATCTCCTACCTGCTCCTCCAACAAAATCTCAATAAACAAGAATTTCGTCTTTCCATTCACTCAAACCAAAATTCCTGGAGTCATCCTTACCTTCTTTTTCTTTTACACTCCATGCTCAATCACAGGAAGTCCTGATAGCTCTACCTTCAAAATGGTTTTCTGGATTTACCAGAAGCCAAATTTTACCATTACTCTCTGGGTCCAAGCCTCAACTATCTTCTGGATTATTGTAGAGCCTCCTAAGTAGCCTCCCTTCTTTATCCTTGGCGTCTTACAGACTATTCTTAGGATAGTAGCTACTGTGGTTTGTATATTTGTTTGAAATTTCTAAATGTCATGTTGAAATTTTATCCCCAATATAGATTCTAACAGGAGGTATTGGGTCATGAGAGTGGATCCCTCATGAATTGCTTTGTGCCATCCTCACAATGAATGAGTCTCACTCTGTTAGTTTCCACGACAGTTGATTGTTGACAAGCATCCTGGACTTCCCTCTTCATTCTCTTGCTTCCTCTCTCACCGTGCAATCTGTGTAGGCCAACTTCCCTTCACCTTCTGCCATGAATAGAAGTTTCATGAGGCCCTCATCAGAAACAGATGTTGCCACCATGCTTCTTGTACAGCCAGAAGAACTATGAGCCAAATAAACTTATTTTCTTTATAAATTATCCTGCCTCGGGTATTCCTTTATGGAAACACAAATGGACTGAAATGGTAGCCAAAGTGATACCCTCTTTTAAAATG